AGTGTAAATTTACTGGCCTCCAAGCTGCTCAGGCAGACTCTTCACGCCAAGCCCTAAACCCTAAGCCCTAAACCCTAAACCCTAAACCCTAAACCCTAAGCACAAGAAGGCCCTTTATTTGAGTCTCCATGCCGAGCCCTGAGTGATCTGGAATTGGGCGGCCCTAAACCCTAAACCCTAAACCCTAGGGCTACAGGCCCTAGGGTTTAGGGTTTAGAGTCTCGCCTGCCGAGGCCTCCAAATCTACACCCCTAACAGCAGAAGCAGCAACAGCATTAGCAGTAGCAGCAGCAGCAAAAGCAGCAACAGCAGCAGCAGCAGCAACGGGAGCAGCAGCAGCAGCAGCAGCAGCTTCATAGAATTGAGAATGTGCGGGTGGTTTATTTGCCCGATGTAGACCCTTGTTCTTTACTTCCTTTTCTCTTCTAGGGTTTAGGGTTTAGGGTTTAGGGTTTAGAAAATGAGAGATCGATTTAAAGAGCTGCAAGCCCTGGCGCTGCAGCTACACCCAGCAGCAGCAGCACAGATGCATCAAGGCGAGGGGCCCCCTGGTGCTCCCTTTGCTGCTGCTGCTGGTGCTGCTGCTGGTGCTGCTGCAGCAGCAAATGATATAGATATAGAGCAGGGTTTAGTAGGGGGGCCCCCCAATGCTGAAGACTCCCAGAGCGGAGGCTTCTTAAGAGATTATTTTAATAAAGTTAATATACTTACAGCAGCAATGAAAGAAATAGCAGAAAAGATCGATTTAATGCAGGAGCTAAAGACAAAACTTATTGAGGCTACAAGCCCGGATGAGGAAAAAGGTAAGGCTTATTTACACGGGTTTAGGGTTTAGGGCTTAGGGTTTAGGGTTTAGGGTTTAGGGGGTAGGGGCTGTAGGAGATGGGCGAGGCGTTGGAAAATTCGGTTGGGATGAAGTGGGAGTTGCTGCTGAGGGTTTAGGGTTTAGGGTTTAGGGTTTGTGTTGTATGGTTTAGGGTTTAGTTTTTGGGTTTTACTGTTTGGTACTTAGGGTTTAGGGTTTAGGGTTTTGGGGTGTACAGACGTGTCTCACGAGTTGCACAAGGTGCTTTCAGCAGCAACAACCCTTGTGCAGAAGACGAAGAGAGCCATCGAGGGTTTAGGGTTAGAGAACAAACAATATGCTGCTTCTAGGAAGGGAAGCTTAGCTTATGTAGGCGAGACACGGATCCGATTAAACCTGCAGCAAACCCTAGCAGCAGAGCTGCAGCAGCTGCTGCAGCAGCTGCAGCTGAGGCAGGCAGAATACAGATTTCAAGTGCGAAAAAAAGCGATTCGTCAAGTTAAACTCGGTACCCCCAAACCCTAAACCCTAAACCCTAAACCCTAAATCACCAAACCCTAGCGGCGCAACTGCAAACCCTAAACCCTCACACAGAACCCTAAACCCTATCACCTACCCGAAAGTCAGCCTTGCAATATCGGGTCGAGGGAAAAGTTGTGCTGGGCAAATGGAGATTGGGGGTTTAGGGTTTAGGGTTTAGGGTTTAGGGTTTTGCAGTGTATCCTGAGGCGGTCGACACGGAAATCGAGGGAAAAAAGCGATTCGTCAAGTTAAACTCGGTACCCCCAAACCCTAAACCCTAAACCCTAAATCACCAAACCCTAGCGGCACAACTGCAAACCCTAAACCCTCACACAGAACCCTAAACCCTATCACCTACCCGAAACTCAGCCTTGCAATATCGGGTCGAGGGAAAAGTTGTGCTGGGCAAATGTAGATTGGGGGTTTAGGGTTTAGGGTTTAGGGTTTAGGGTTTTGCAGTGTATCCTGAGGCGGTCGACACGGAAATCGAGGGTTTGGTGGATTCGGGGGAATTAACTGCCGCAACCGCAATCAAAATGAAGGTTTCAGGCGTACCTAAACCCTAAACCCTATTTCCTAGAGGCCACTCTCAAACCCTACTAATATGACTCTAAACCCTAAACCCTAGGGTATAAAGGCAACCCGTCCTTCCCAGCGTTGCGGTTTCCGAGGCATTTAGGAAGCTCAACGACCAGCTGTTTAGGGTTTAGGGTTTAGGGTTTAGGGTTTTGTGCTGCAGACCCACCAGGCGCTGAGGAACGCAACTGCAGATATCCAAAACAAATACAGAGACATCCGCCGTCTGGAGCAGAGTGCGTTAAACCCTAAACCCTAAACCCTTGACTGCAGGGTTTGC